TTATGGTAAGTGTTCTTATCACAAATAAATACATAAGAAGGGTGGGAGCAGGTCAAGCCCCATAGCCTAGTGGTTAAGTTTGGCATGCTCTGCTTCGGCAGCCTGGGTTTGGTTCCCGGGCGTGGACCTACACCATTCGTCTATCAGTGGCCATGCTGTCATGGTGGCTCACATACCCAATAGAGGCAGATTGGCAACAGATGTTAGCTAAGGGCGAGTCTCCCTCAGCAAAAATGGGTGGGAGGAACTTGGAGGTGATGGGTATGTTTATGGCTTAAATTGTGGTGATAGTTTCATGGGTGCATACTTATCTACAAACTCAGCAATTTGTACGTTAACTATGTACAGCTTTTTGTATGTCAATCATACCTCAATAAAGTGGTTTAAAAAACTCCCAACTAAACATTATCTTGCTATATGATCCAGCAATCCTGTTCCTTGGCATTTACCCAAGTGAACTGAAAACTTATATACTCAGAAAACCCTGCGTGGAGGGTTATAGCAGCTTTAGTCATAGTTGCCAAAACGTGAAAGCAATGAAGCAGTCCTTCAGCAGGTAAGTGAATAGATAAACCATGGTACCTCTTGACAATGGAATATTATACAGTGCTAAAAGGAAATGAGCTATCTAGCCATGAAAAGACATGGAGGAACCTTAGATGTATATTCCTAAGTGAAACAAGCCAATCTGGAAAGGCTACATGCTGCATGATTCCAACTCTATGACATTCTGGAAAAGGCAAAACTATAGAAGAAGTAAAAAGATCAGTGGTTGAAAGGGGCTCGGGGAGAGGGAGGAGTGGTTGGCAGAGCAGGGTGGATTTGTAGTGGAATGATACCATAATGGTAGATCAAAGTCATCACACATTTGCCAAGTCGCACAAAATGTACAACACCAGGAATGAAGCTTAATGTGACTATGGACTTTGCTTGCTGATGATGCGTCAATGTAGGTTCATTAGATTGTAGAAAATGTACCACTCTGGTGTGGAATGTTGACAGTAGAGGAGGCTGTGCCTGTGTTGGGGAAGAGGATATATGGGAGCTCTCTGTACTTTATGCTCAATTGTTCTGTGAACCTAAAACTTCTCTAAAAATTAAAGTCAATTAAGGGCCAGCCCCAGTGGCCTAGTGGTTAAATTTGGCAAGCTCTGCTTCAGCAGCCCAGGGTCTGTTCCTGGGCGCAGAACTACACCACTCGTCTGTCAGTAGCCATGCTGTGGCGGCGGCTCACCTACAAAGAGAGGAAGATTGGCAGCAGATGTTAGCTCAGGGTGAAGCTTCCTCAGCAAAAAATAAAAGAAATAGGGTCAATTAAGAAAACGTGATGGAGGACTCAGCCTCACACTCTGCCCTGGGCAGTTAAGCCTTGAGTGCATGGGCAGGGCCAGACTCTTTGTTTTCCTCTCTATTCAGGAGTGAGTGGTCCCCTCACTTCTCACTCAGTTTCCTTGATTTACCCCCTGGCAGAGCCTGAGGCTCTCCTCTTTCTTGACCTGAGGATGTTTCCTCAGGGAAAGGCTCACACTTCCCTGAGATCCAACAGGAAGAGGTGAGGGTAGCCTTATTTGGCCCCACCTGCCATGGTCTCCCGGGAATGACAGCTGTGGCGGGCGGCTTGCGGCCCTGTGATGGTGATCCTACTCAGCGTTCCAACTCAGTACCCTAAATCTGACTCATGTGAAGGCCTAAGTTACTTCCCTCTGCTGACCTGAGACCTCTCCCCTCAGACCAAGATCCTTACTTCTCTCTTGCCCCTGAGAAGGATGTGAGGCTGTCTCTGCCTGACATTTATGCCTGCGTCTCTCATGACAACAGGCAAGATTCTGTGGGGTCTCCACTTTATGGGTGTGGTGGTCTCTGAACCCTTCGGTGTACTCAGCTTCCTCGTGGCACACCTTGGAAATCCTACCTCTACTGACCTGATTCAGTCAACCCCAGACCAAAGTCTTCACCTTCTTAACCTCGTAACTGGGAATCAGGTCCAGTCACACCCCACCAAGGCTGTTTGGGGACTCCTAGGGCTGATAGCAGGGTCAGGAGTCTCTGGGCCAGTTCTGGGAGTGTGCTTCCTTACCTCCTCATTCAGGGGCCTCACCTGCACAGATGTCAGAGACTGGGACTGCTCGCTCTACTGACCTGAAGTCATCCTCCTACAGCAGGACTCACAAGCCCCAAGAACCGTGAAGAATAAGTGAGGGGGCGCTCAGGCAGACAACTTTGCCTGCCGTGTTGCTCTCCCCAGGCCTCCTATAAGGGGATCTTCATCATGGCTCCTGTTTCTCGACTAAAGGCTTCCTGGGAAAGGCCACATGCCTGCAAACTCTTGACCAGTTTCCCTATTGCCAACCCTTCAGGGACTTGGTCCCTTCAGATATGAGATAGAGAAGCTGTAACACAAGGCAGAGACCCCAGGACAGATATGCTGTCAGAGAAAAAAGAATACGTTGACCTATTCCTTCTGTTTACTAGCCAGACTTAGCTTGTTGTGTAATTCCTGCTTCAACAGACTTAACTTTCTCTGTGGAATCGGCTGCCCAGAATGGTTTTGTGAGCCTCTGATCTTTTGAGGTTATCTGACTTTGGATATATAGATGATCAAATTGTCACCGAATGTTATCTTTCTCTTCTTTATTCACTTCTCAATTGTTTTGTTATGCTTATTGCTCTGGTTATGCATTCCAATGCAGTGTTTTGGGCACACGGCCCTTCTTTTTATCACTTGAGATACATTTTGGAGTAATGAGAAGAAAGATGAATTAAGGAATACAAAGTTGGCCTCAGGCTGGGAGGAGCGGAAAAATGAGGCCTTCGGGCTAATTCAGGCCAGGGGTCTAGTTCCAACCCTGTTACTTAACAGCCATGTGAAATTGGGCACATTACCAAACTCTGTGAGCCTCAGTCTTTTCCTCTGTGAAATGGGTTTCCTAAGCTCTGTCTTGGGGATTGGTGCAACGTATATGATGCATGTAAAATGCCTGGCGCATTGCCTGGCTTGTATTGAGACTTTAAAGAATGCCACTTCTTACTATGATTAATTTGCCCCTGGAGTCTCAATCTACTACACTGAGATTCAATGTTTAGTCCCAGAGATCAGAAAATATACAGTGCTCTAGGACAAAGAAAACCCTATCAGGCAAAATGCCGCTTAGCAAGGAACTCGAAGTAATATCTCCCCGTTAGAGTCTGTCATTCAGCGTCGGTGTGAGCTGGACTTCCTCGGTGGATGCAGCACAAAGATCCTACAATATGTTTCAAGGACCAAAATCTTACCTCCCTCTCAGCTGCCCTTCTTTCTAAACCACTCCTACTTGCATTCATTTCAACGTGCACAAAAATCTAGACCTTGCCTAGAGTTTGCCAAATTACGTTCATAATTTGAAGGAGTTTTTAATGGAGTGGATCCTGGCTCCACCAACCCAGGGCAATGAGTGCCAGTCCAGTGGATTCTGGACATGCCCCCTCAGGGAAGTACAAGTTTCCCCAACAGTCCAAAACTTCACTTGACACGACTTCTCTTTTAGGAACGACCTACACTGGTACGTGTTTTCACTAAGTGAAAGAGATCTAAAGAGGATTTTTGCTTTTACAAGAAATGGTAAAAATTGCAAACAGCATTCAGCATTTGTTTTGCCGCAAGCCACTAGAGAGGCTAAGCAGTCAAGCACACTGTGGTATTCGTATGATGAAACTCGACCTTCAGCTTCGAGGCAGGCAGACATAGAAGAAGGGGTAGACCTTAGTGACTTCCCTGCCCTGATGGACTCAGACGACGATGAGATGTTAACAGGTGACCATCTTCCTCTGTCTCCTACAGCCCAGTCTCCCGTACATCCCACCACCTCGACCTCCAACGACTCAGCCTAACACACCATCATCACCTCCACCACCTCTCAGCCTTCCAGGGTGCCTGCTGTCTTCCCTACGCTGGTGAGTGAAACATCACTGTACACACGGTATTTCTACTTCATCAAGGCTGTGTATTTATCTGATCATTCCTGCTTTTACTGTATGTTGGTCTTATTTTCGGTTTTATGTGTAATTTGGTACGATTTGGTAGGTTATTTTCTGGGTCTGGGAACGCTCAAAAAATTTTCCCGTATATGTTAATGGTAATTGTTTCTTCACTTTACATCATTTCAGCTTGTGAAAGGTTCCATAGGAACGCTGTTTCAGATAGCAGGGGAAACCCATATCACACTTATTTCTCAGAAACTCCCTGGAGACGACGTGAACAAAACACCTAATTTGCACACTGTGTTCACCTGCACCAGGACGAGAGCACAGGACTCGCTCCATCCCTGCACCAGTTGACTCCTCTCTGGTTTATCCATGATCTCAAAGTAATTGTTAAGGGTGGTTTCCCATCCCAGGCTTAGTCTTTCAACTATGGGGTCCACCATCTGAGGGTCTGGCCCCTGCTCACAATGATCACAGCCTCATCTAGCCAACCATGCAGCTAACTTAGAATTGCCTCCCACCGAGGGTCTTTTATGTTCCCAAGGCCCAACACTCCCTTGCTTCAGGGAATTTACAGTTGACTGCTCTCATCTAGGACCACCTCTCTCCTTTCCTATCGCGTCTTTTCATTTGTCCTTTCCATCCTAGAGTGTATATCACCATTTTCCTTACAGGGCAGCTGCTTCTCGACTCTATAATTTTATGGCTAGGTCTTCTTTTTCTCAGCTCTCCCAGTACTAGCACGGAGCCTTCTAAGAGTAGATGCTCAATTAATGTTTGCAGAATAAATGAACCTGTGAGCGTGGGGTTTCATTTATTATGATTTAATTCTATATTCTTACATTAGTCAGGCACATACTGTTATTTATAATTTCATAAAAACACAGTAGAAGGGATTAGGAAGCCACATGTTGACCATCTTATGCCTTTTCTCTGTCTCTTTTGCATATACTTTACTGCCTAACTTTTTTCACATTTTCGAGGAAATGCATATTCCAGTGTCAGGTTAGCTTGCACCAGATTACTAAATAAGATGGAAGTTATCCGAATTCATTTTGCAAAACAGCACGACTCTTACTCTTAAACCTGACAAATAACAATCAGTGTGACCAATATAATTCATAAACTTAGATTATAATGCTGGATAAAACTTCACTGAGAAGTAACAACATTTGAAAAGTGGCGAAAAATACAGATAAATCTCCAAGGTACCCACATAGAACAGGAACACACAGATATTATACACTGTGTTCCCTCAGTCACACCCAGCCCTCCACTACTTGGAACACTGACCGCTCTCTGCCTCAACTTCACTGGATGCGGGAGGAGCTGCTGGACATGGCCCGGAACATACACTGGCCATGGCACTGGTGTCAGCCCTTAGTGTAACTGTGGCTTGGGCTCTCTCTTCCTCTTCTTTCAAAGCCTCTTTATAACAAGACTGGAAGGCACTGGGGACTGTATGATTAATCTTGGCCAAAAACTCCAGGACTTTCATCTTGCTGGTTTCAGCGTGGGCTCTTGGGCCCCACAGGAATTCATAGCACGGAGGGTCACTGTGGGGCACCTGCTGGTATACCAAGTACTTAAGCTTCACCAAATCTTGGGTGATGAGCTTCTTGGGCTCCCCAAATATGAAGTGCCTCTTCCCAGCGTATACCCTCATCTTATTCAGGAATTTCCAGATGTCCTCCTCAGTGGCGCAGTTGCCCTTCATGAAGATCACACCCAGGAGATTCATTAGGAGACCGGTCTTGGGAAAGCCCCTGCCACGGTTCACGATCCCATTGTTGGGAAGGTCCATTTTGTTGACAAGGATATAGGAACGCTTGGTAGAATCTACTTCCCTTAAGTCAACACCAAATACCACCTCCATACTGAAAGAAGCTCTTTGGAGGATCTCAAGGAAGCGATTTTTGTACTTTTTATTGACAATCTTCAGCATATCTGCTTTCATAATGGGCTTTTTCCTTTTGTACATGTGCATCACAAACTGCACCAACATACCCGTCATCTTGCTCAGAGGGTCTCTTGGAGACTGCACAATGGAGAGTGGGGCCTCGCAGGAACTTCGTTTCTTCTCAATTTTGCAGTTGGCTCCTTCACGTGATCTTGTGCGAGAAACACCTGCAGACGTAGTGGTGCTGGGTAGGGCTCTCTGAGGCCTCTCAAGAGGTCTACGTGAGCTAGCACCAGGCTTTCCCTGAGGAGTAATAACACCAAAAGGAGGAGGGGACGAGGAGGGGAATGCTTCCTGCTTGGTTGCCGGGGCCTGAGCACCCTTTGGCGCCTGGGTCCCACCTCGGTCCTGGTGGCGTTTCTCTTCTGAGACGGTGTGGAGCTTCCTCTTCTGCCCCCCAGGCAGCATGACTGTGATCAGGCACAGCAGGCAGGAGAGCGGGTAGGACAGCAGGTGATCTGGGCAGGAGAGGAGAGAGGATATGAGGGTGTGAGCACCTTCAGCAGGAAGAGAACACCTTGACTTGAAGAAGGCCGCCTCTTCAGGTTTCCTCGAGGGCACTGCTCTAGGAACCGACAGGGCTCCTGTTCTGATCAACCTCTGAGAAACCTGGGGAAATAAGTAAACTGAGCCTCAGGCTCTCGCCTCCAGCTCTGCCTGGTGCTTACTGGGGCTGAGAGCAGCGGTGGGCAGGTCTAGTCCTTGTGGAGCCCACTCTTCTCTGGGATGTGGCGTCCTCTCAGTTCACATTCAGGACCATCACATCAACTTAGGCAGGGACTGGGCCCCCTCTTCTGTGCTGCTTTACATTTACATCTCAAACCCAGGTCTTCATTTCTTCGGATGCCTTAAAAGGAAGTGAAGGCGTACCTCAGCCACCACCCCTGCCAGAGGGCACCCACTGCTGACGGCTCTATGGGACTCTCTCTCCTGGGCTCTTTGGGGTTCTCAGTCCTCATTCAGGTTCCTTGCTTTGGCTCTAGGTAGGGCCTGGGACACTTGCCTCTGCTGATCTGATGTCCTTCCCTTCAAACAAAGGCTCTCACCAACCTGATGCGTTCCAAAGGAAAGGAGTGTTCACATACACCTGACTTCCATGTCTGGTCTCCTCAGTGCTGCAAGCAAGGAGGGGGGGACTTTCCGTTTTCTCCTCTTTTGGGGGTGAGTGGTACCATCAGTCTTAATTCAGGGTCCTCACCCTGATTCCTATGAAGCCCTGAGTCTCCTCCCTCTGCGGAACTGAGGCCGCTCAATTATCCAACACCCTCACCTCTCTGGAAGTCTGCAGCCAGAAATGAGGGGCGTGCCTCGGCTTCACAGATATTCTGGGTTTCCACAGGGCTGAGAGAAGGGGCAGAATTTATGAGACCCCACTTTCCTAGAGTTGGTGTTCCCCTTAGTCCTCACTCAGATCTCTGACCTTAACCCTGGGTAGGACTTATGACTCCTCCCCACCAGTAACCGGAGTAGTCAAGCCTCAGAGCAACGCCCTCAATTCCCTGAGTCCCTAGAGGGGAAAGTCGGGGTCCTCCATATGTGACTCCCCCTGCCTGGAGCCTCCTAGAAATAGGTATGGGGGGTGTTTTGTGTTGCCACCCCTAATTGGGTTAATTAGCACTCAGGGCCCCCGCCTTCACTGCTGTTAGGGCCTAAGTAGCTTCCATCTTTGGACCAGGGTTCCTCTGTTAGACCAAGGCCCTGCCCTTCCTGCGACTTTCCAGGCAGATCTCTTCCTGATAGCTCTGCCGGACCTGTCACTGCCTATCGATCACAGGGGCGGTATTTGTGGCGCCACCTTTGTTATGGGACGGGGAGACGTCCCTTCAGTCCACATTCAGGTTCTCACCTCAGTTCCCGGAATCCACCCGCAGATCAGCAAACCTGTGGCCACCGGTGAGTTCCTCGCGTCGAGTACCTCGCGTCCCAAACAGGAAGTCGGGGAGGTGGAGGTGAGTCACATCTGGCCATGGCTGCCCAGGGGGTTCTCCGAGGGCCGACGGCTGGGGGCAGGGCTCTGTGGAACCCCGTCGTTTAGCTGTCGGTGGTCCCGAGCCCCTCACTCAGGGTGCCAGCTCGGAACCTATCAGAGCCCGGGACTCCTCCCTCTACTGG